ATATATACGAGTAACAAACATCAGAACGAATGGTACACCCAAAAACAGCATGGTACAAATGTGTGTATGAGCACTTTTGTCACTTGCAGTTAAAACTCTCAAAGAAAAAAATCAAACTAACAACAGGACTTCTTTTTTCTCACTTTTTCAGAAGCTGTAATTTTTAAAGACAGAAGAACAGAAAAAGCGAAAAAAAATACGAACAGAACTAAAAAATAACAGTTTTATTGTCTATTGGTTTTAAAGTAACACACATTTTCTATTTGCTTTCTCTTTATCTTTACTTGTACAAAATAATTTAAATTTAAAAATTTTAACAAAAAAATTTTTATTTAGTTGTGTAAAAAAAAATATTTCAAATTATTAAGCTACAATAAACTGGGAAGCAAAAATTAAATACGTTACTTCAACTGTGTGTGAGAAAATGATGAATTGTATAATAGCCGTTTTAGTAGCCAAAAAATTTTAAACTTTTGTAAAATAAGCTGACAACAAATTTTTGTCAAACTGTCAAATTTTTTTGGATTTATAACTGAGAGTTTTTTCTCGCGGTTATCACTTTAAATATTCTGCATAATTTTTCTGTTTTTAGAAAGCGATAGAAAAAAAACTAATGTAAAAATAAGTTCAAAAAAATAATCGTCAAAGAAGCAGCTAGAATTTAAGAACTAAGAAATCTATAGTTGAAAGACGATAACAGAAGGAAAAAAGTAAGAAGAGTTCTTGTCTAATGCCTTTCATAGTCTCCTCATACTTCTTTTTTTTCTTTTCTTTATTTCTAACCGTAAAATTTTTATACTTATACACCAAGAAGAAGTAAAAATAAAAAAATAAAAAGTATTGAATAAGCAGAAGATTCTTGAATAGAATATGAAACCGGCTTCTAGAAAAGGATGTGTCGAAAGACTATGTAAATATCCTCTGAGTATTATATAAATTTTTGCGTGTGTGTGTATATTGTCTGTGTGTGTACCTATGAGTGTGTATTGGTTGATTATACTCTGTTATTCAACATGCCAATATTGCTAAACCAATGCTAAACCAAATAGAGCAGCATATTAGTTGTCCTGCAAAACTTGAAAAAAAAA